TTTTCGATCAATTCAGAAGATATTGCTGCTTGATCCTTGAGTCTTATCTTCTTCACGTGCATCTCACATGTGTAAGTAGATAACCACTGTGTCTCACATCATGAACCTGGTCCATGACTGAGTTCATTTGTCAATCTTCAAAACTTCATTTGAACTTGGGCCAACAACTTGTGTTGTGGATCATTTATGAGATTCGTGGAAATATTTGAATAATACGATTCTTGAGGGTTGTTGAACCATTGTTGGCTTGGAGTTGTGATTGGGAATTGTCTGGAATATCCATTAAAACACTCTCCTTAATGTCCGTTATGCTTTCTGCCTTGTTTGTTACTGTTATATATATGCTTGGTAAGGAAAAGTGTAAAGCACGAAGGGTGATGCCGTGCCATTGTTTATACATTATCATGTGAGGGAGAGTATAAAGCACGAAGGGTGATGTCGTGTCATATTATTGAGAGTAAAAGCACGAAGGGTGATGTCGTGCCATATTATTGAGAGTAAAAGCACGAAGGGTGATGTCGTGCCATTTCATTTATATTGTTATGCTTGTATGTTATTATGAGGTCATGGCACGAAGGGTGTTTCCGTGCAGGTGAGGACGAGGGACATGCATTATGATGTGATATCTGTTTCCCGTGTATACGTTTGTGCCCTTACTTTGAGCTGCTATTGTTGTATTTACATATTTTGTGTGACTTGTTGTTACTGTCCTGTACTTGACCTTTATCTCAATTGTTGTTGCACTGTCCATGTCTTTTACTTGCTTAACTTGCGAAATACCGTGCCAATTTCCTACTTTTACAATTATACTCATGTTGTATCTATTCTGTTGCACTTTAGTATAAGCCTTCCACCATGCTAGCCATTCATGCCTTTAATTGTTAACTTGTAAATAACATGTGTTTTCTTTTTAGTTGTTATATTTGTACTTAGGCCTCCAATATGCTAGTTAATTGAAGTTGATATTTCCTATTTCCAATTGTTGTTGTTACACACGTGCTTTCCGCTTAGTCCTTTACTGTGATCCACATATGTTCCTTGTCCATTGTTGTTACTTGCGTATTTCCTACTTAGTAATTCCTATTGTTGTGTTGGTTCCTGTGATATGGTTGGCACTGTTATATGATTACTTGGAAATGATGAGTTGAACGCACGAAGGGTATTGCCGTGCTAATTGAATTGTTTCATAAATTTATTTATATATGGTGAGGATGAGATGAAAGCACGAAGGGTGTTACCGTGCCATGTGATTTGAGATTTTGACATTCTAGACATATATCTCCTACCCGAAAAGATCATAAATATTCTACTGTGGTTCTTTTTTGTATTTATTGTCTGACTCGTCGAGTTGTATATGCTACTTTTATCCGTTATACTTTGAACTGTTTTACTGTTAATCTAATGTACAGGTTATTTTAATAAGCATCTTTTTAACTAAAAGCCTCGTCACTACTTCGACGAGGTTAGACAAAATACTTACCAGTACATGGGGTCGGTTGTACTAATACTGCACTTCTGCACGTCCCCTGCAGGTTTTGGAGCGGAGTTGCTGGTGACGTCGGGTGCTGATTCGTAAGATGTTCGTGCATTTGGCTGCCACTTGTCCTTGGTAGTTTAGAATATTGCTAATCTGTTTATGTAATCTTCAAATGGAACGTGTATTTATTTGTATCAGTTTTGAAATTCCACACTACAACATAATGTATTTATAGCTACGAAATCTCAGCTACAAATTTAAAAATCGTGGCTAATACCTAAAAATAGCCAAAAAAAATAAAATTTTATGGCTATTTACAAATTCAGAAAATTTGCTAGCCACGAAAATTAAATTGGTAAAGCTAATTCTTCATTTTTGCTATAATTTTTAATAATCGTAGCAATAATTGCCTAAATAGCTACAAATTTGTTGCCCCAATAAATTGCGTAGCTAATTCATACGTTTTAGCCACGCATTAAAAGTTATTATAGCAATAGTAACCTTTTAACTACAATAAATTATTTGAAATAAAATATTGTAGCTAAAGAAATACATTTGCTTAAAGTTATAAAAAAATTGTGGCAATAGGTAAATGATATAGCCATGGATTTATTGTTATGACATAATATTGTAGCTAATTGTTAGTTTTTGCTACGAACGTAAAGTGACTGTAGTAAAAGTAACCTTTTAACCATAATAAAATATTTAAAATAAAATATTATAACTAAATAAATATTTTTTCTTCAAGTTCTAAAAAATTATGGCAATAATTGGCTTAATATCTATTATTGTCGTTACAGAATAATCTAGCCATAAATTTATTGGTCTGATAAAATTTCATAGCTAATCATTAACTTTTGTCACAGGTTGAAACTCAATATAGTAATAATAACCTTATAAGCCTATGAAATTATTCGAAACAAAATCTTGTAGCTAAATAAATATTTATGCTTCAAATAATAAAAAAATAGTTAGCTTAAAAAAATGAAAATGGTTGCCATGACAAAATGATGAATATTTTGCTCGATTATGAAAATCATGACAAGAGTTGTCTAACACTATTAAGTAATAAAATATTAATGTCAAATCTAACACTTATTTTTTTCTTATAAGATAGAAAAATAGTAATTGTATATGATTAAGGATGAGAATAGTAATTGTATATGATAATAATTATTTAAAATGCAAAATTAATTTTTATTTCTCAAACAATATTTACCTGCTTATAGCAGCAAAACTTATCAGTTGACTTTTTAGACTTATCAAACTCATATTTTATTTTATTGTAGTTGTTGTTAATTATATAATTTTGTATTTAAAATTTAAATTGTTATTAATAGTTGTAGGTATTTAAGAAGTCATTTTTAAATAACTGCTCATGTATTGAAGAGCTTTTGTCACGACCCAATTTTCAAACCCGGTCGTGATGGCGCCTCTCGTGAAGACAAGGCCAGCCAACTAACCCAAATTGTCTCTTTAATATTTATTAAACATAAACGAATAGGTGAATATAGCTTAACGACAATAATAACCAGTATGTACAACCCAACATAACCCGACCGGGGTGTCACAAGTCACGAACATCTAAAGAAAACCTTAACACAACTACAGGCCAATAAATATATACAAGTAACTGGAAAATAAAAGACAACATCCGGTGCCGCGAACGCTGGCGGTCACCTTGCTCAGCTACAATAATAATACCTTCAATCCGCTAATAACCCGCTACCGGGTGAACGATACCTGCAACTGCACGCGAGGTACAGGGAGTAAAGTGACTTCCAACTCGGTGAGTATTAGAAGTAAATAATAACTGAGCAACAAGAAATCACGTAAAGCAACCAACGGGCTGTACAGAAGCCGGGTACAATTTCCGAGAAAAACAGTGAAATCAGAGAACTCTTTAGAAATGTTTCGGCTCAGTTCAAATATCTTTTGAAAATGGTCCTTTAAATAATTACGAAAACTGTTCAAAATAGTTAGTGCTGATTAACACAGAAAATCCGCCCCTCGGGCTTAATATCACAGCATAGCAGGTAATAATACAAATAAGTATGCAAGATGAACACATAAAAGTTCGCCCCTCGGGCACGAATTTCGTTACTAGTCAGTCATTGTTACCTGACCGGTCAGCCATTGTTACCTGACCCAACGCGTGTTTCAGTGCCATTGTTACCACTGGTCAGCCATTTTTACCTGACTGGTCAGCCATTGTTACCTGACCAAAACACGTATGACAGTGTCATTGTTACCACTGTCCAATTCTAAATGGGTACCCGCGCCCACTGTGGATTTGCAGACTCCGGAGGGGGCTTCTACAGCCCAAGCGCTATATCAACATAAGGCCTGAAAGCCTGTACATATCAACATGAGGCCTGAAAGCCTTCTCACAGCACACTCGAGGCCTGAAAGCCTCCTCACAATACACTCGAGGCCTGAAAGCCTCCTCACAACACACTCGAGGCCTGAAAGCCTCCTCACATCACTCAGCATATCCTCACATATGGCCCTCGGCTTCAATCAGTCCAAAAATAATCATAAGCCCCTCGGGCATCAGTAAAGAAACAATAATGCTCAGCTCAAACAGTAGTTCAAATATCAGTTAAAACTCGAGGTTGAGTGAAAATATAGCTGAGTTCATGAAACAGTGTAAATCACATGGACTGAGTTCAAATAATATCTCAAACAGTGAGGAAAACAGTGATGATAGCTCATAGGGAGTTCAAACAGTCGGCAATAAGCCCCAAATATGGCAATAAGCCCAAGTCCTAGTGAAAAACAACAAGTCATAGCGAAATACACGGTAAAATCAACAACCGGGATGGACCAAGTCACAATCCCCAACGGTGCTCTACCCCACGCTCTCTATCTGGCGTGCAAGTCACCTCAATATAGCACTATGGGTGCAAATTCGGGGTTTCAAACCCTCAGGGTATCATTTACAATCATTACTCACCTCGAACCGGCGAAATCTCTAGCCCGCGACGCCTTTGCCCCTCGAATCGGCCTCCACGCGCGTCGAATCTAACCAAAATCAGAGCGAATACATTACAATATGCCCAGGGAACAATACCCAATCGAAAACAACCAAGAAATAACAGAAATCTCGAAACTAGCAAAGCCCGAGCCCCGGGTCCGCTTCTCGAAAAATTACAAAACTCACATTACCGGATTCCTCATCTCGCCACGAGTCCATACATACTAAGAACTCCCAAATCCGAGCTCAAATGACCTATCAAATCCCAATTTGGAATATCAAAAACTCAAGCCCTAGTTTTTACCCCTTTTTAATGAATTTCAACCAATTTCCATGTTACATCTATCATAACCTCATGTATTTAAGTCAGGGGACTTACCTCCAATCGATTCCCAGTCAAAACTCCCTTAAATTCTCGCCAAAAGCTCCCAAGGTCGCCCAACAATGGGCGAAATTATCCAAGCTCGCGGATGAAATATTAAATAAAAACCCTTCTGAACAGCCCAATTTTCGCTTCTGCGGTCCCGCTTTCGCTCACGCGGGACNGTTTGTTTTTGATTTACAGGGTACTCAAGAAAAAAAGTGTTTTTGAGAAATTTCAATCTCTTCTAATGCCAAACCGTAAGTTTTACTTCTTTTTTCCATCTCCTTAAATTTATGATGTTTATTTAAATGCTTTTTCATTTGTATATTGTGTTGGAAAAAAAGTTTAGATTTTTTTCACCTGATTCATGGCTAAGTTTTTTTCTTCTTATTTCTATTTTTAATTACTAATTGTAAATGCATCTTTATATATTTTGATAATTCAAATATAAGTTTCTCACAAGATCATGCTATTTTATTATTTCAGTCTAGTGAGAGTGCTTAATATATTCTTGGATGCATGAAGATTAAGAGGTGAATGAAGGTGGCAACATAAATCATCAGGCAAATATTTATATTCATTGCAAAATTTTGTACATTATTTCTGATCACTGTTACAAGCAAGCCTCACATTGGCTAGTTTTTTCCTTCAATTTTTGGTTATTGTACAAGACTTAATGTATTGCAGTTGCTATTAATTGATTAGTATAAATGTGTATTTTGCAATTTATTTTGTGAAGCTTTTTAGATTTTAATTTGTGCAGAATAAGTTATTTCTCAAACTTAAAATGTTATTAGTTTTAATATAATATGCACTGCCACAGAATAATTGGAAAATTTTAGAAAAAATCCAATAGCTAAGAAACAACGAACTTGTGAGAGAAAAAGTCACTATAATAAATTATTTTTTTGTCAAAAAATTAAAATATAATAAAATAATATAACCACTATTTTTTTGTATAATTTGTAGCCATGGAACTTTTAGTCCGTAGCTAACAAAAATACTCTTGCCATGGATTAATTTACGAAAGCAGTTACATATCTGAATTTTCGTGGCAAACAAAATTAGATCTTTTGCCACACTAGAACACTTTGTGGCTACCATATGAATTAGATAGCTACAGATTTATTTGTCGTGGCAAGAGTATAAAATTATTTGCTATAAATGTATTAATCATGGCAAGAGTATAAATATAGTTACAATACAAAAATTTCGTAGCAATAAGTATTAATCCTTAGCCACGGACTATGTAAAGTCTGTAGCTAACTTTTAGCTACGCTACATTTAGCTACGAATGCTACGGAAAAAAATATTATGGCTAAAGTGTTTGGCCACGAAAATTTTCGTAATTAGCTACGTTCTTTATTGTAGCTACAAATATATTATGAGTGCCAAATCTTAGAAGCTCGTGATTCGTACTACCAAGTCTTGGTAAACTTGTAAAGGTTCAGTTAGTTATTCTCTATTTTCTTATTATCTCAGTTGTATTGTGTTGTTCATGTTAGTTGGCTTACCTAGCGGTTGAGTTAGGTGCCATCACGACTTGTGGTTTTTGGGTCGTGACACTATGTTGTGTTCACTTGTTAGATTTCCTGCCTATAAGACCAACGTTATGATTTGTTAGAAATCCTGCCTTTAGGTGTATCAATTTATCCAGTAATTGTGTGTTAGCAACCATGCCCATAGGATTAACATTTGGCTTAACTGTTTTCTAGCTCAATCTGTATAAATTCCTGCTTATGTACTGCTCAATTTTAGAAAGCATGCTTATAGGATTAAAGTCGGTTCAACGATAGAAACCATGCCTATAGAATCTAAAATCAGTTTAATTATAGAAATCATGCTTATAGGATCTGAACCAGTTAATTGATTGCTTTACTCGTCTCTTTAATAGTCATCAGCGCTGGGTTAACCATTGTCACTAGAAATCATGCATGTAGGACTCAGTTAACCAATTCTGAATATAATCCAGTAATCACCACAGTTAGTTACTGCATAAAACGCTTAGATAACTTGCCTATAGGTTCAAATGCTCTAATTGAAATCAGTAGTCAATTACAGGACCACTCAGTAATTACTGCCAGCGTGTATTAAAAATCCAAAATCACGTAGAAATCATGTCTATAGGATGTAATATCCTTATCTGATTAAACTGTCAAAACGCCAATATGCTTTGCGTGCATTTGCTGCCTTATATGTGGAAGCTAAATTGGGCCTTTATCTGCTCTTGCATGAAAAGTCCTATGTGTTTTGTATGTTGCTTATTTTTACAATTTTGAGCAACCTAAGCCGAGTCTAGACCATCCTAAATAGAGGTCCCAATGCCTCCAGGACCATAGGTAAGGGACAGGTAGTGCACGCATAGGGTACGAGTTAGAATTGATTAGAGCGCTTTAAGTAAAAACTCAAAGATAGTAATCGGGTAGCAGGAGATGATAGTCTGTGCCCGCTGAATAATATGAGTAACACCCCGACTCGAGGGAGTTACGAAGTATTATTTATGTTGCACGGGGTGATCCTTTAGGCTAAAAAATTTAGGACCCCCATCCCTATTAAATAATTCTCTCGCTTCTTTATTAGACTAATTCATAATTTAAGTTCGGCCGGGACCCACCGTTGTGGACCTCGAGGGGTGCCTAACACTTTCCCCTCAAGGTAAATTCGAGCCCTTACCCGATCTCTGGTGATGCAAACTGGTATAATCTGAGTTATTTGCTATAAGTGCCCTAACGCACCTTAATCCGTTAGGTGGCGACTCTAACAACCAATTCATTTTCCCTACACTCTCAAAAGGAGTTGTCAAAATGTCGAAACCCGATTTCGTAAGAAAAAGGGGCGTGACAGGTTGGTTATACACAGAGTTTGGGTCTGGTTATATATAATTTATGTGGGAGATGTAATAGGTGTGGTACCGGGGGCTACCAAAAATTATTTTATTTGCTGAACCTTGGAAGTTTAACTGGCAGTAGAGTCATCGTTTTGCAATTTCTCAGGTGGCTGCTTGAGTGAAGTATCAGTGCCAGGTAGTAGCATACTGTTGATTCTTTTGTATCTAACAATCTCTTTTGTTTTTGTGAAATATTTCTTCCTTTTCTTTTTCCTTGTATTTTCCATGGAATTGTTTGAGAATAATTCAAATTGTTGTGAGGGTATAGCCTCAAATACCAATGATTTAGGGCCAGAGATAGGTTGTGCCATAGGTAGCTCTTCAAGTATTGAGAATGAGTTATTTAGATGGACCGGTGTCGTGGAGTGTTGCATGGCATGGCTAGTTTTGAGTAATGATTGTTTGGGGAAGGCGCGCATATCTGCCCCTGCTAGTTAATGCAGTGCAGTTATCAATTTTGAAGAGCACCCCAATCTTGTTGCCTAGTATTATTTTTCAGGATATCAAGATCATAATATTCAGTGGGCAGTTCGATTAATCGTATCCAAATGGCCGATGAATTGGTAGTATCCTCCGTGGCTGAGAATTTTGGCTCCCAATTGCGAACTGTGATATACTGAGACCCAATAAACCAAGGCCCTTGATGAAGAACTTTATGAAAATTTTCCAAGTGTATAAATCTAATAAGGTAGTAATCGTTGCCTAAATCTATAAGAGTAATTGGTTCAATGGGTTGCCAAAGTGTCTGTAGCTTGTTTTTAAGAAAGTTGTAACCCAATTTTCTTCCCAATGGTTTAACAATAACAGATAACTTCCAGGTATTGTAAAGTCAGCTCTTGTCATCTGTAGTGATGGGAATAAAGTGAGGATGGTTGGTAGGATTTTCATGTTCACTAGAAAGATCAAGGGCTTGGAATGATTGATTTAGATCTTGAAAGGATAAATTAGTGAATGGAGTAGTATCATTTCTGGTGAGTGTATCACGTTAACCGGTGTTAGTGGGTGGGATATCTAGTTAGTTTTTACTATGTTGAAGCAAATCAGCGTCTTGATCATACATCTCTTTGTTGGCAGGTGCGGACATTTTTTGATACTCGGATTCAGAGAGATTTGATGAGGAATTTTAACTTCAATTCTTGTAGAAACTGATTGTGAAAGAGTTTCTTGATGTGAAACTATTTGTGGCTCGATATCTGGTGTTTCTTGATTTCATTGTCTTTGTCTATTTTTGTTTTGCAAGATATTTATGTACAATAAGTAGAAAAAAAAATGGAAAGAAGAAGGATAAAAGTGATGGTGTAATAAGAGGTTAGGAAAGCAGAGGAAGGTTGACACCTCCCTTAAGCGAGCCAGTATTTTTAGACGATTCAAAATATAAAAAAACAAATATACGAAAATTTTAATTTAACATTTACTATATGTATGAAAAATAATTTTAATTTTGTATATATAATATAACTTTTCGGCCTACGAGATTCGAACCCCCTTGTGCCACCTAGCAAGAATATGTCTTCGTGGTAGATAAGAGCCTGTTGGATTGACTTGAAAATAGTGACTTTTAAGCACAAGTGCTTAAACTCAGGGGCGGACCCACCTGGTGTCAAGGGGGGTCAGTTGAACCCGCTTCAACAAAAAATTATACTCTGTATATTGTTAAATTATATTTAAAAGAGGCAAATTATCGTATAAATAAAATTTTGAACCCGTTTTAACATAAACTGCTCGCAGCAGAGGTGGTCGTGCGGGTTCAACATTTGCAAAGGATACTGAGATCGACTCCCATTTGTAGCGTTTCCAATTTATTATTATTATTTTTATTTATTTATTTATTTTGCCGAAATTTTAATCCCTACTTGGACTTTTCAACGTTTCCCTTCAATCTTTGCTGTTCTCTTTATATACAAATAATAATTTCTTATTAATAACAAGGAAAACTCTAAAATTATTTAAATATCTTAGAGTTAATAAATATTTTTTAGATTAGAATTTTTTATGTAAAATTTGTTAATTAATAGACAATTTCTTAAAATAGAGATAGATAATCCTTAACCTTCATAAAATATTTTTAGGTTTATTAAAATTATAGAGTGCCAACTTTTAAATGACTTCATTTTGAGATTGTATTAACAACAAAAAGGATAATAAAAGGATCAGACCTTACTTGTCATACCCAACACCATTTTACTACTATATTTAACTGAATCCGCTTGCGCAAAATCCTGGGTCCGCCACTGCTTAAACTTGTTTTACAAATAAGCAGTTATGTGTTTGGATAGAAGTGCTTAAGCTAAAAAAAAAAACTATTGAAATGTTTGGTAAACAAGTGCTGGTAAGCACTTTATTCTATTAAAATGACCGAGATGCCCTAAAGTTGTCAACACTAAAACTAAGCTTATTAATGTATTTTAAATTTTAAATTAACTCAAATGCAAATTAATTTGTGTATCAATTCAGTTTAAGTTATAATACTGATTAGATAAGATTATTTTAATTAATATAAAGTACTTATTAGGTAAAGCATTAATTAATAATTGTAATTAAAAAATATACTTAAACTATATAAACAATTCATTTTTAAAGTACTTTTAAAAATCGAAGAACCATGTAAAAGTTACTTTCTTACCTTCTACTTTCATTTTTGGTTATGCAAATGAATTAAAAATGGTATCTGATCGAGTTAGAAAGCTTTTGAAGTTGAGAAACAAGTATTGCTAATCTATAATATATTAAAAGCACGAAGGTCCTTAGCGAAATGTCGTTCGCTTTTTTTACCCTTTAAAAAATATATTTTATACTGGACAAAATAGTACTTTACTTATCTTCCTGATATTTAGGACTTCTAANA